ATCAGTGTCCGTGTCCGTCGTAACAACGCCAATGTTACAACTCGTACGTTGACTTCGACTTCCTTCAAACACTTTTTGGTAGATGACGTCGAGTTCCTTACTGATCTCCGCAAAAGTGGGACGACTGCGTGGTTTGTGTTGCCAACACTTTCGAATTATTCTTCTATATACACACACTTTTGGTATCAGCGGGCGCTTTCCACTCATCACAAATTCTTGGATACTTGCTGGTGTAGCGAAAACATCGGGGTCGTATGGTGACTTTGTAAGCCAGATCTCTAATATACAAATAGCAAAAGAGAACACATCACACTTGAAACTGGCATTTCCAAGACTCTTGTCATGGACTTCGGGCGCCATGTACATTGGTGTTCCTATGTCGACGATTTTCTTTGCGCTCTTGGTGTCCACAAAGAGTGCTGAGGTACCAAAATCAGAGATTTTAACACAAACGGGTTCATTCGGATTTTTAGACACCATTAAGACGTTGTCGCTCTTCAAGTCTCTGTGTACAATATTGTTCTGATGCAAGTAGTCCATCCCTTTAGCTATATCTTGGCAGATACGAACTTTCAGTTGTGTGCTCATCGAATTTGTCTTCATGAATTTACGTAAGGAGAACAAAGGACAGAATTCTGTGAGTAAGCAGAGTTGATCCGGCATCACTACACTGCCAATAAAACCTAACACAAATGGACTTCGAATTCTTTCCATTAATTCGCATTCTTCCATGAAACTGGGAAGAAGAGTTTCTGTGTCAAACATATCACTTTTTAACATCTTCACAGCAACTTCAGCGCCTCGCCATACCCCTTCATACACTAATCCAAAACTGCCTTGCCCTACCGGTGGCTGTTTGATTTCAATTTCATCCAAATCGATTCGAGACGATAAGACACTCTCCGTTTGAAGTCTTAAGTTGACATAGAACGAAGAGACTTTCGAGGGAAGAGTGGATGACTTCTTAAGGATCCGACTCGACCGACTGATAGTAAGGCGGTGTGATGACGAGAAAGTCCCTCCAACAACTTCGGGGCACTTCCTTAAAATCTCCTGAGACACCTCTTTGTTCACCTTCTTGTTTTTGCCATATTTGAGAGTCACTTTCACCTTTTCAGTGACTTTTGTTGTGCACAACATGACCAAAGTCGCTTTGACTTGTATTGTTTCGTTCGTGAAAATTGCGCCAGTGGGTGGTTTAAACGTGAGTCTGTATTTATGTGAGTCGACTCCATGGAACGTGAACAGCAGTACTTTCGAAAACAAATTTTGTAAAGTGAAAGAAAAGTAATAGGGTTGGTTGAGCTCCAATTTGTCTTCCCCAAAATCCAACGTTTCGGCGGATATTTTGAAGAACGGATTGTCGAGTTTAGTGATCTTTTGTGCGTTTTGTTTAGAAAAGGGAATAATCCCCGTCATAATTATTTGGTTGTACATTTCCTTTTCTTTGTGTGCTTTAGTGATGACTGCGTTCAAATTATTATACCTCAAATAATAGACAAAAAGTAACACAAAGTATAAAAAGATATACAACCCTATTGTTGGTGTTAGTGACGATATTAACTTGTTTCGATCTTGTGTGTTCTTACAATCAATGTTGTTGTTTGCAAAATACATCAATTGCTTATCACACAAACACTCAACACACCCTTCTCCACCATCACACTCTTCATTCACATCTAACTGCCCATTTCCACATGTCTCGGGAACACATCCATATTGTATTGGATGGTGGGGGTAACTCCCATTTTGACATTGACAGCGCTCACATAAGACTCCCCCTTCACAACTTTCATTTGGGTCGATTCTGTTATTCCCACATGTGTCTATTATACAACGGACTCTTCCTCCAACAAGTTGGGGAGAATATCCACTATAACATTTGCAGGTATGCGTGTCACAATGAACATCTGTTAAATATGAGTCGTCACAGTCTTCTGTTGTGTCTAATATCCCATTTCCACAGAGACTACATATTTGATCGTTCAATACGTAATTCTCTTCACAGAAACACTTCCCAACCCGCTCATTGCACGTCCCATGAAAGCCACAATTTTCAGGACATATCTTTTCAACGTGTAATTTTATCAACCCGTAATTGACGCGATTTGGTATAGTAATTCCGATATAAATTGGGGTCTTCGACCCCCCATTAACAACTATTTTCGAGTACTTTGTATTCTCACAATTTCCAGAAATGTAATTTAAACAATTGGCGGATAGTCCAGCACATAACGTGTCATTGAATGACTTACCACTTGATGCAAAGTCGATGACTTGAAGAGCAATTTCGTCTGCATAAGTCGATTCACATAAATTCAGAAGAACTCTTTGATCGACACCTTCAAGTGAAAACCACTTTATGTTTGCTTCATCTTGAAGACATGCTGTTCTTGACAATACAAAGGTGTTTGGATCGACAATTAGTGTTGTTATATTGTTGTCATTAAATGCTATTGTAGTTGGACTTGGAACACACTGATTTTGCTCGACAGATATAGTCAGACTAAATTCGGAAAGTATTGATTCTCCGATAGCTGAATGGACAAACACAACAATTGGGTCTTTCGTTATTGTAAAAGTGTGTTTTGTTCCATTCGAAATGCACATACTCTTTTCCTCTGACAAACACGCCTCATCAAGAACACACGACTTCTGAAGAGAAAAAAAAAGGTGACTCGACTCTTTGCAACTCTTATCAAAAATGCTCACCATCAACTCCTCTTGGTCTGAAGTTTGAAATTGAAGCCAAACGCCATATGTGAACGGTTGATATATGGGAACTACTTTAGAGCACCACGTTTCTGAGAATACGACGTCTTGGGGTGAAACTTTTATTTCAAAATTTGAGTCTTTTGTCACTTTGTAAGTAAACTTTTGATTGTTCTTTAAAAATTCTGTGCATTGCGTTATATAAGGAATTTGCATACAGTTGCCAGCACCATTCCACACAAACCCTTCAGCACATCTTAAACAGTTTTTCGTGATATTAAATGATGTGTCACACTCGTCACAAACATTTGGCTCGGAACACCCATTAATACACTTTTTTCCAAAAATGCATTCGGGCGAACACCCCCCATTCGTGTTGATAAAATAGCCTTGTGGACACATAGAAAATACTCGCTGTAAAAAGAAGAGCAAGAAGAATAGAGTGAAAAGAGGTAACCGGCATTGGACGCTTTTGTTCAAAGCCATTGCCATTTTCAGATACTTTACTTGTGTATAAAATTAGTCCTTTTTTTTTTCTTTTTTGTTCCATTTTTGCTGTGGTGTTGGCAGACATTGATGGCTTTGTTCGGGTTTTTCAACTTGAAATTTTTTCTTCTTCGAACAATTTGGGTGTATTTTGCGGACACAAATACACAATATACGGGTTTTGGCTTCTATTTTACAAACGAATACGAGTGTTGTTTCATTAACTTATTCGGGACTTTTCGTAGTTGTATTTCTAAATTAGTCAGTCTTTGCTTCACCAAATGAATTCATTTGCCTTATTATAATAGACGGTTGTTTAAAACACTCTTTTTGTGTAGATACATGGGTTGGTATATTATTAAGGATAAGTGGATTGCAAAATCCATTGTCTTTCACCAAAATGTCTATTTATAAAGAAATAATAATTGGAAAGATGGCTATTTTAACCCCCAACATATTATTATCAAATAATGGTTATTGAGGTGGCATTAAAAGAAAACAATGAAAATATTGCCGAATTCAAGTCATATTATTACAATTTTTTTGGTTATTATAAAGTGTAATAATAAAATCGATAAAAAAAGTCAAGTTTGTTTCAAACTAAGTTGGTTGTTTTCTTACTAAAATTCCATTTTTTTGTGGGAAATATGGAGGTGAGAAAGAAAGAAAAAATGTTTTTGTTTATGGAACAGTTTGTTTTTGTTTTAAATTGTGTATTGAAATAAGTTGGGGTATTATCCCAAATATGTGGTCAATAACGCGCATTTAAAACGTCATTTCCATGTAGTTAAAGTTACATTTCAGAGTAAAAAAAATAATTGCGAGGTTAGGATTAAACTAAACCGTATAGTTTAACAACTATAAAAAACACAAAAAATCGATAAAACATGAGTTTCACGACTCAACGTCTCGAATGACATAGTTGGCAGGGAAAATACCAACTGTCCCGTTCAGCTCGCCTTCCCACCACTGTCCGTTGCTCGACAACACGGTGACCCAGTCTCCTTCTCTTAAGGTCAGCTCGTTTTGTTTGAGTGCGTTATAATTGTACACGACTCTTGCGTGGAACACACTTGAAATCTTTGAAAGAACGACCTCCTGCGTTACTGCAGATTTTCCAGGTGGGGTAATAAGTTCACAAAGAGTCTCCACCCCCCTTTTGTCGCAATTTTGGGCAACCGCAGTGAGCTTTTTCCAGGTTGTATCGTTCATTCTCAGACACCCACAACCTTCTAACGTCATTTTTTTCGTTATATCCTCAACAACAACAGGAACGACGCGCATCACCACCGACCTATCGCTATTGATCTCATTCCGCAACGCCATATACTTTTCCTTTTGCTTTCTGTATAACTCGTTTGCCTTTTCAACATACTCGAAATTGTTCTTCTTTTTTTTCTTCGTGACTTCGCTTTGCGCCTTCAAAAACTCCTTTCTCCTTTTCAAAAGCTCCATATCCCTGTTATTCAGAATTTTGAATTGTTCCAAAAACGAGAGGAGTGGTATTTCGACCTTATAAAAAACACTGGAGTTGTACTTCTCTTGTTCCTTTAGTATTTCATTTGTCACTTCGTATAATCCGTTCACCACTTGTGTGGTGTGTGGATTATCCACAGCCAACTCAGACAAACAATTTGATATGTCAACCTGTAAAATTGAGGCCTCTTGGAGTATTGCCTTCAGTTTGGAGATTTTATTCGCAACGCCTTGGAGGCGTTGTTCCGTCTGTCTCGACCTCTCCCTGATCGTTTGGAACTCCTCATCAAATGTTTTTCCTTTTTTGTTTTTCTTCTTCATCAACCTCTTGGCAACTTCGTTACCAAAAATGCTCATTGAATCAATTCATTCTCTCCGTTTTCTCTCCTTTTGAATGTTCCTATTCCAATCTTGTCAAATCGTTTAATTTTTTTCTTTTCATTTTTGAAAAGAAAGATTTTATAATTACTTTTAACTAATATTAATAATTTTTTGAGTAAATTTAAATAAAACAATAATTATTTAATTATTCCATTACAAATTACTATACGAATAGTTATATTTTTATTTAAATTGTTTTTTTTGATAATCACATTATTAAACTATTGTTTAATAAGAGATAATTGGTAACTATAAAATAATTAAACAAAACCTATAAGCCAAAATAGAACAGTTTTAAGTTAAGCTGGTTTGAGATAGTTTTGAGGAGCTCTTCCCTTATTGTCTTCTGGGTCGTAAGCCAAACACCACCCCGACTGGTCCATCTCAACAACAAGTATAGTATCTCCTTGTTTAAAAGACAATTCATCATCAGTTTCAGCTGTGTAATCGTACAATGCTTTAGTAGGGAATGGGAAAGTGAACTTTTTGCCTTCAACTTGAGCTGTTTCGAGTGTGTATTCTTGTTGAATCTCCTGTGGTTGTTGTGGTTGAATCGGTTGAGCATTGTTTTGTTGTTCTTGTTCGTTCACATTTGAATTCATCTGACAATTATTGTCTGGATCTTCTCGAATTGTTACAGAAGCTAGTCCAGTATTTCCACTCACGATATTTCCAGTGTAATCGTACTCGAAGATATCTTCTGGAGGGTGTCCATTTGTAGCTTTTGTAGTTGAAAATTCGTTAATGTCAGCGTCGGGGTCGATCTACATATCAGTTTCATAGTTTTTAATTCCTATATAATATTATATAATATATATTATAATACCAAACAAACTGAGTCAAATTTGGTTCGAGTCGACTCTACAAATTTTGCTGTTGACGACACAAGCGACAGGTATGCCATCGCAAACTTTAAGAGAACACTCTTAATTGACACAATGAAATTCTTTTCAGCTGTTTGGAATTGTTCAAGGATATGTGGTTGGAGTGAAGTATAAAACTCCCTGATTTTTGCGTTTGTATCAGCCAACGTTGTTTGATACACTTTTTGCGCTTCGAGCATTTTTGCGTTGGTTTGTTGTTGTTTTTCTTTGAGTTGTACAGTTTTTGCGGCTTTAGAGGACGGGTTGTTAAAACTCTTTTGATATGACGCTTTTGCGGACTCGTCATCTTTACCACAACTCACATAGTTGTCTCTGTCTTTCTTTAAGACTTCTTTTTGCTTCGCTATGTTTTTAGTCATTGTTTGTCCTTCAGCTATTAAGGCTTTACTTTGTTTGTCAAGTTCTTTGATAGTAGTCTCAAGCTCTTTAACAGTCATAGAATAGATGTTAGTGATCGCACTTTGTGTGTTAAGATCTTCTTCAATCGAATTGAGATACCCTTCCATATTGATTTTTAAAGTCCCATACATCAAGGTGTTGGGAGACGTCACCTTTTTGAGACGATAATCTTGTACAATTTTTAACATCCGCTTCTCAAAGTCAAGACGCTCATTTGTCATTTTCTGTAAAAAGATACGAAAGTCGGTGTAACACTTTGTGTTGTCTTGAGAGTGGTGGTACACTAAGTCTAACCCGTCGATCAAGTTCTCTGCGAAACTCATCACTTTGTGATAAATAAAGATTGATTTCTAATCTTTACTTCAAATTGTTTAAAAAAAGGTTTTAATTGTTTTTTATTCAGATTAATTTGTTGTTAATTTGAGTTTAGTTTTTTTAGACTTGTAGAAGATGTTGATGAAGTTATAATTACTAGACAATTGAATAAAAATTCAATTTTTTGAATTTTGTGTTTTTTTTTTAATTAAAATAATAATAAACAAATACTAATATAATAGTATTAAATTATTTTTCCAAATTATTTGTTTATTATAACAAAATTTATAAAGTATTATATCATTCAAATCTATTTAATATATTAATAATAATTTATTATTAATATAATATTATCAAGATGTAATAAAATATTAGTAAAATTTGATTAAAGTAAAATAATTAATAAATTTCAATTGAAAAAATTAAAAAAGATTTAAAATTACAAATGTTAATAAATTGGTTAAAATATTAATACTTTATAATTATATTTTAAATTCATTTTTTTAAAGATGTAAAAATAAATTTATTAAAAAATTCATTTTTACAGATAGTAGAAAAATAGGGTGTCAGGAATAAATTGGGTGTCAAATAAATTAGGGATATGTTGGTGTAAAAAAATGGGGTTCGTTTTTTTTTTATTTTTCCCCCCCCCCAAAAAAATATGAAAAACCATTAAATAACTCAAAATCAATCTGACACCCAATTTATTCTTGACACCCAAATTTTCTTCTATCTGTAATATCTAAAGATTTTTTTTCAAAAAAATTTGAGGTTTTCTAATTATAGTTTGTTTTATTATTGTTATATTAATTATTATTTAAATTAAAATTAAAATTATATTTTTATATAATTTTATTTATGATAATATTATATATAATTAATTTAAAATTAATAATTATATTATTAAAAACTCTACTATTTTTCGGCAGTTTCGTAACAAAAATAATAGAATATATTTTATACTTAAATTTATAGTAAATAATATATATATATTATAGTTTTAATAAATACTTTGACACCAAAATATTAATCTCGATGTTCTATTTAAAAAACAAAATAATTATTCACACAAAAACAACTACAGCATTTTTGTTTTTTTATAACCAAAAAAAAACAAGTTATTAATAACTGTATAAAAATAATAATTATGGAAATAATAAAAAAACCATATACGAATGCTTAATGAAACTAAAAAAAAAGTCAAATTAAAGTTTTCTAACGAAGAACATGAGAACGAACTTGAACTGAGATACCCAAAACAAACTATTGGCATGGATGCACCAAAATCGGGTTGGCTAATGAAAGAAGGTGGTGGGTGGAAAAGTTGGAAGAAACGGTTTTTTGTACTTGATGGCGCCACTTTGACGTATTACAAAGATGACACTGTTTGTTCATTTATGGAAAAGTTTCTTTACCAATTATTTTAAAAAGACTGAAGACTAGAAAAAATTGATGATGGGAACAATCAACTTGGCATTGGCTACACACATCGTGTGTGTCGACGATTACCACAAAAAGTTCAATAACATCATTCGAATATGTACTCCAGCAAGGACATTCCATTTGAGCGCACCAACTGAGGACGAACGGTTGATGTGGTTAGCAACACTAATGTTCCACTCCGAGATGAGTAGTGTGTACAAACCAGTAGTCACCACTGAGCCAGTCACACAAAAGGATTTTGATGTGAAGTGTTTATTAGGCAAAGGAGCGTACGGGAAAGTGTTTTTGGTAGAGATGAAAAGTACGCACGAGGTGTATGCGATGAAGACTATCGAGAAGAAACAGATTATCGAATATGAGGAAATCGACCACACGATGTCTGAAAGAAGGATTTTATCAAAGTTGCATCACCCGTTCTTAGTCAATTTGTATTACTCTTTCCAGACCCCAACACACGTTTGTTTTTACTATTATTTATAGTAATTTTACTATAATAATGATCAATTGACATGTAGTTATTTTATATCATCGACTATTGCCCTGGTGGAGAGTTTGTTTTATTTATTGTAGTGTTGTCATACAAGTGACTGACAAATAGGTTTTACTACTATCTCCAAAAGAATCAAAAAGTCAGCGAATTAGATGCCAAATTTTACGCGGCTCAAATATTGTTGGCTATCGAACACCTTCATTCTTCGAATATAGTATATCGCGATATTAAGCCGGAAAACATTTTGATATGCGCGGACGGGTATTTGCGATTAACAGACTTTGGACTTTCAAAAGAGAACGTCACGGACCAGTCGAAGACTTCAACATTTTGTGGGACGCCAGAGTACTTAGCACCTGAAGTAGTGATTGGGAAAGAGTATGCGGAGACTGTGGATTGGTGGGGATTCGGCATTTTAATCTTCGAAATGATTCACGGGCATGCGCCTTTTGTATCCGAAGACATCCAAGAACTCTTCCAAAAGATCATTCACGACGAAGTAACGTTTGAAAATCAAAACTATCCCTCTCCGCAGTGCAAACAATGTATCCGCAAATTACTTGAAAAGGATCCTGCGAAAAGACTGACTGATCCAAATAACATTAAGTCAGAGGAGTGGTTCAAAGACTTTGATTGGGAAGGACTTTATCAGAAAAAATTGACTCCGTCATACATCCCCGTCTTGAAAGACAAAACTGACACTTCCAATTTCAACGAAGACATCATCGGAGAGTCGACAACACTCGATGAGACTGAAAAAGTCGACTCGAAAAATTACTTTAACGACTTCACCTATTGCAAATAATTGGAGTTTTATATAAACCAGTTCTTTAGTTTCTTCTTCCCCGTCTTATATCCCTTAGACAGAATAAATAATGAATTGAAAGTACAATTACTGTTGAGCCGTTTGTTTTGTTTGTTCTATATAAGTCAAGCAGTTCTGAACGAATTGGACAGCTTTCTGTGACATCATGAGTCCTTCCATCGGATCTATAGCTTCGGGTTCATACAAATTTGGAGCGATCACTATAGCCAAATTTTGGACCGTCATCTTGTTGACTTCTCTGTTGTGAGACACTTCAATCATTAAGTCAAATAACCAGTCAAGTAAAGTCCTCGACTTCTCATTAAGTGTTTGATACGCTTTATAACTCTCAGCAGCTTCTGCGGAATAAAAGATTTGGTCTGATGACAACACATTTAAAATGGGCTTTGGAAGCTCTCGAAACCATAACTTTATTAAATTGGATATTTCGTCGACAGTGGCTCCCATCATATCATTGGTTATAGCACCATTACTCTTATTCAATTTGTCTTTCAACCCTTTGACCATCCCTTGTTCCCCAGCTAGTCTAAATACACCTTCTGAATTAAACCCTCCTCTTTCACGAAAAGCTATATCAAGCGTGACTATGACTTGTGGTAAGATCATTTGCCGGGAAGGGTGTTGGACCCATTCTAAAGAATCGGGATCTACCCCAAACACCCCAGAGTCCGACCGCAAACGTACATTTAAAAATATTTGCCCCAAGGTCTCTGCACTCAAATTCACTTTGAAGTTCTTGTTGATCTTTTGTCGGAGTGTAAGAGACGCTTTGATCTTCTTCTTGCCTTTTGGGGGAAGACTACCTTTCTCGGGTGTAAATTTCAACTGAAAGTCCTTCTCAAAGATTTGTTCAAGCTTAAAATTAACTTTAAACGTCTGTAAGTTGGTCACTACTATCTCGTCTTTGTACTTCTTATTCAGCTCTAAGATGGAGTCACCGAAAAGAAGGGTGTCTTTGTCCACATGCATCGTGTCACTTAATTGGACACTTTGTCGAACATTACAGTTATTCACCGGTTGAACTATTTCGTTGCCCATCTTAATTTTTTAGATGAAAAGCCCTTTCAAATTTTTATTCATACCGAACACTACTCCATTTTAGGCGCCTTTTACTTTATGCTAAATAAAACACTTGAAAAGGTTGCATGGAAATTTCGCATCTTTGTTCGGGTTAATGGAAGTCTTTGGTTGGTAGACAATTACGGTTTTATACACTACAACAGGGGAAGTTTCTATTAAAAACTGGGATAATCTCCTCGTTAGCAAAGAATGAAATTGTTATAAGTAAAAATTGTGAAAGATCGGGAAATTCACCAGATAAATATAACATGAACATTATTTGTCAACTTTTTTAAAAGAACCAATATTGAAAATAATCAACGGGTTATTCATATTTCGGCACAAACTGCTTTGTTGTTATTAGTATCGTTTTTTACTAGTTAATCTATTTCCAAGTATTATTGTTTATTTTAGAGTGATCAAAAACAATAAACTTGAAAATCACTACAAAGCACTACTTTTAGTATTTATAGGGTAGTTTTTTTTATTTGCGTTTTTTTCATTTACAATAACGGGATACTTTAACATAAAGTTCAATAATCGATTTTTCAATTTCTTTTTAATTACCAACAATTTCCCGTTTAATTGATATTATACATGAGCAACATTCGGAATAAAAAACAACAAAAAGCAAAGTTTGGTGAAAAAAAATAACAAAAAACTTTTGTTTAGTTTGAATTTTTGTTTTTCGTTTTTTTTTCTAAATATAAAATAATGACAAAAATAAAATTTATATATTTCCATATTTGACTAATTGTTCCTTATCATAGTAAAATACCTGTATTAAACTGAATAATTGTTTATTTTTTCGGGTTTAATTAAAATGAAATCCCATTCAATTATTTTTGAAAAAGAAAAATTAAATTTATTAAAAAAAATTATCAGTTTGTTATTTTACTCGTATTATTCCTGTAAATTTAAATGGTTTTATCTGATTATTTTCCTGTTTTTTATCGTTTTTTAATATTTATATTTCTTTATAATTAGTGCAAATTAAAACTATACTAAAAACTATGAAAACTTTTTCGAATAATTATTTTATCATTATAATAGTTCTTTACACTTTTATTTATAAATATATAAAGATGATATAGTTTAGTATTATTTCAATTTTTATTATTTATAATATTAATAATTATTATAAATTTATTATTAACTAGTTTGTTTCTAGATAATATGTATTTAATTCCTTTATTTATAATTTTACTTGCAAATTATATTTATTATTAATACAATTTATATATTATATTCATTATTTAATACAAGGATTCACCCCACCACCAAGTGGCGGGGACCCCCCAAAACAGTAAAATAATAACAGATTCTTAATTATAATAAGACAATCACCAATAAAAGTGACCCAAACAAAGAAAAATTAAGCTAAAGCTATATAAATATTACAGTAGGAGGAAATATGGGGATGCTCGAAAAAGGAGGATGCTCGTAACTATTGGTGAATTTCAATTGAAAAACAATAAATTTACTATTAATTTTAATATAAATTATTACTCAAAAAATTAATAAAATTAATAAAATGAAAAAACTGAACAAATTTATATTAATTATTTATTATTAATAATATTAAATTAATTAATATTAAAATGAGCATCCCTTTTTTTCTCAGCATCCCACTTTTTCCGTTAACTGTAGTATATTCATTGTAAAAATATGATTCCTTATATAGTTTTGAAAACGCGCCCTTTATAGCGGGAGGACATCCCTAAACCACAAAAGAAGTAATTTGGCCCATTTCCCCGTCCTTCGTCCCTATGTCCGTCCTGTCTCTCTAGTTAATTATATTTAATCAAAATCTCTTTTTTTCATAATTAAAAAAAAAGTGGATGTAAAAAAACTATAATTTTTATTATTTTTATTAAATTTTCTTTCCTACGATTAATATGGGTGCAAAGAGACTTATCTAAAAATATAAATTAAATGTTCATTTTAATCATTTGTAAACTATTAAATATTTTTTTTGTTAATTTTACAAAAATTTATACAAACATCATATTTATGATGTTCGTATTTCCTTTTGATTACAAACGACGTTAATATGATGTTCATATTACTTTTTAATACACAAACATCAAATTAATGATGTTTGCGTCCTTTTATGTAATAATTTAATCCATAATTTATGATTTTTAAATATAATTCAAAAACAATCATCTGCCATATTTTTTTGTTCCATAAATTTTGCGTCTATTTTTATATTTTTATTATTTACTATATATTAGAATAAATTATATGTTTAAATTATAGTTGTTTTATCATTTTTTGTATTTTTCCACATATTTTTCAACCCTGTCAATTGAAAACGGTAACAAATTAACTATAAAATAGTTGTTTTTATTTCTATTTAACTATATTGAAAACCAAAAATAGATGTTACGGTTAGGGCAGGCAGCCCGGCCGAAATCGCTTTTATATATATTGATTTTATTAAAGATAAATATATAATATATCCCCTTATATATAACTAATACTTTATTCTATATAATCAAACAAATACAGATAAAATATAACTTTTTTATTTATCTTAATCTTGAGATTTTGAAATATACAATTTTGAGGTTTTTATCAATTTTGAGTTCATTTATTCAAAATAATGATTATCAATTATTTATTATTTACCTATTCAACGAATAATATGAGTTGTTATAATGGCTGTCAAGAAGATGTAAAATGTGAATTTGACGACTTTATAAGACTCAAAAAACCAATTTCATTTTTTTAAACACCAAAAAACTCAAAATTACATATAGAAAATGGGTTATGAATGTTTGCCAACATAAATGCCAAATAAAAAACTAAATTATAGACTTGGACCATCCAGCGGATGTTATATTACATTCTTGGGGTGCCGATATCAATGGGGCTTTAATAAGTGCGGTTGAAGGGATGTTCAACTTTATGAGTGATTTAACACGAGTTGAAGAAAAAGACAAACGTGTTGTTCAAGTGAATGCAAAAAGTTACGAAGAGCTTTTAGTGAAATTACTGGACGGGTGGCTCTGTATTTTTTCCTCTGAACTATTTTTGGCTAAGCGCTTTGTCTTCACACAGTTTGACGACTCCGATGAAGACAACATCACCATCACCTGCGAAGGATTCGGAGAGTTTTTTGTCGTTGGAAAACATCAGCAAGGGACTGAGATAAAGGCAATTACTTGGCATAACCTTGAGATCTATGATGATGTGAAGGAACAAACCCACATCCATATTTTACTCGACATTTGATTTTGTTATTCAAAATGTTATTTAAATTTTTTAACCCATTCGATTGTTTTTTTTCAAACGTTTTACTATACATTTTATAATAAACTAATTAGATTTGAACCATTCGAAAAAAAGCCAAGACAAATTGATATAGTTTGAATTATAATTACATTATACTTTAATTATAGTACCACAAATAGAAAACAATCAACTGAAAAATCATAGTATTATGTTATTGCTTTTTGTGTTTGTGGCGGTATGCTTCGGGATATCATTTGATGACGATTTGGAAAACCTCGAGGAGTTATTTGACAATGACGAGTTTGAAGATTGTGACGATTTTGATATAGAAAATTATGATGAAACCGACGATTTTAGTGAGTTTGAGTTACATGGATTTATGGACAATTTGAAAAGCAAAGTAAGTGAACTATCAAACAGTCAAGTTTCAAAAGCGACTAAGAAAGGTGATGACGACGAAGACGATAAGTATAAAATTAACAAATACAATCAACACTTTGGGTATGGCAGACGGTTTGTTTACAGACATAAACTATTAAGCTATTAACGAGTAGATATGGATATTTCATGGCACGACAGTTTGTTTCTATTTCATGGACGTCAAATAGTATATTGTATAGTACTTTATAATATAATTTTAACTAATAGATACGAAGGATATTATCCCGGATATCCACATGTATACCACAAATTATCGTACTAAGTCACTCCAGAAATATTGTCTGAGTCCAATTGATTTCATACGATTTATTGGTTTTGATAGCGAATAGAATAAATTAATTAAAACAAAAAGTAATGTAATTAACAACACGAACTTTGTTCAGAAAAGTCAGGAGATTCCTGGGGTTCTTCTGGGACCACGCTTAAATCAAGGTTGTCCAGTATAAATTGGAAGGCAACTTCAACAGCTTTTCATAAGTGTTGTTCTTTCAAAACAAATTCTATATATATAGTTATTTTTTATTATAAAACAAACTATCACCGGAAACTGATGTGACTTCGGTGAAGAGACAACCTAACCTCTGTGCTAAATTCTCCCCTTCGACTTTAGTCACTTCTCGCTTTGCTGCAAGGTCTATCTTTGCTGCGACGATCATGACGACTGTGTGTCAGTCTTTTAAAATGGAGGTGAAATACTAACAAACTCACGTGTTTCTCATTATTCATGTCGTTTTCTTTCTGGACTGTGTTGTACCACTCCTCGACCTTTTCAAATGATAATCGAGAAGTGATATCGTAGACTATCATACACGATGAAATATTTCGGTAGTACATATTTAACATCGAACGGAATTTTTCGGACCCCGCAGTGTCCCATACACTCAATTCGATCTTCTTCTTCCCGATTTGACAAACCTTTGTCAAAAAATCACAGCCGACTGTATCGTGCGTATTGCTGTCAAACACGTGATTTAAATACCTTTTCACTATACACGTCTTGCCCTTTCAATTACTTCACTTTCAAGCTTAAGAAGAAATCGTAGTCAACAAACGACACCCATTTCACCCAACATACATAATTTGAACTTTTGCATCGATAATTCCAATTTTTCAGTTTCACATTTTTTCAGTCATAAAACTCTTCAAATATTGGAGTTATTTTCTTTCACGTATTTACAGTTGGTTCAGTGTGTATAGTAAAATAAAGAGAACAAATCTATAAATTAACCATATGAAAAAAGACTAGAAGTAGTCGTGGAACTGACTTGCGTGCTGTGATAAAAATGTGTTGTATCGAAACAAGAACGGCATACACGCCGAGAACTCCGTTGAGTTTACCGCAACTAAAGTTGTTAAGAAGAGTTGCGTTTCATTCGGCCCATTTGGCACAAATTCGTAGAGTAACTTTAAGACGTGATTTTGTTTCCAAAGAGCAAGGACGGGATGTTTCTTAATCAATTGAAGGAGTTTGATGAGAAAATCGTTATCTGCTCTAAAAAAGTTCGAGTCAAGACTCATCAAAGCTTCTTTATCATTAAAATCTAACTCGTCGAACTCGTCATTCACAGTCTTAGAACTCTCACACACCATTCGATTGAAGTCACAAATTTCACTCTCATCGTAGAGAAGTGAGAATAATTCTCCGATAATACCTTCTTTCTCAAACACTTGAAGTATCACTTCATTACAAGAGATGAGTAAGTCGCACACACTATTTCTAATCTTGTCACTCATTATATACTTCAGTTCTTGTGCGATCTTTGTCGCACTCTCATCGTCCAAGTAATAATGATAGGCTATGCTCGCATATAACTGCAAAACTAATGAACAACATCTCTCGAGAAAGAGATAATTCATAATAAGAGTGTTGTTGACAAGTAATAGATGAGACAAATAAAACGGAGTTAAGAAGATGAGTCCATTCAAGACGTCCTCGATCTCTTCTATATTCTTTAATTGATCTAAGAGCGCGATTCCTTGTCTTGCAAAGTCTGCGCAGTTATCTTGATTCGCATGTTCTTTGCATTGAACGAAGTATTTCCATGTTACAGAGTCGGGACGGTCATTTTTGAAAATGTGATTTAATATGACATCTCTTTGTTGTGTCAAAAAATGTTCTCGGCGCTTACTTCTGAGCAATTGATGTGTCATTTCTTGTGTTTTAGTCAAGTCTGGTGTTGTTCGAAGTGAAGTCATTGAATTGGTTATTCTTATTTTAGAAACCCTGAGCGTTCAACACTTTTTTCCTCTTTTTCGCATCAAATTTTTCACAATTCAAATATCCAAAAGAAAATTTTAAAACTGATTATAGAAGATGGCAGACGGCAAAGACTTCACTCTTGAAATTCTTAAAGAATTCGCGTCACAACAATGGGATAGAACACTTTGTTACTCAGAAATTGTACCAACCCCAGAAGTAAATGCCGTCAAAAGATGTGTCGTGACAATACGGTCGCCACTTAAAATGACGTCCTCCCTCCCAAAGTAGTTCGTTGTTCGTGTTTATTATATTATATTATATATTTACTAATAATTATTCTATATTTGATAGGCGGATTTTGAATGTAAATATCGAGGAAACTCATGAACAGTGAGTTCATGTGGACATTCAGCACAGACGACTCCGATTTCATTGAAATAGTCTATACGCCAAATGTCCAGGAAAGTGGGACGCATAACATCATTGTCAACACCCCCCGTTTGTGTTCCACTTGCACGGTATAATTTAAATAAATTATATAAATTATATAAATAGCATTTGTTTTCACTCTTAACAGTCAGAGGAAGAGGGTTGGGGGATGGTCACTCCTGGGCCGTATGCTAATAACATCAGCGAGAGTTCGCTTACACTTCATTTGAAGACCAAGCAGGAGGCCAACAACCTTCCATATGAGCAAAGGACGTTATGCTTTAAGTTAAGTAATGTAGTGAACAAAAAACAGAAAAGTATATCTGTGTTCATTATAGAAATGAGTTCAACGGGCAAAAGTTATGTGAAGACTGGGGAAATGGTATCAGTTTCTTCAAGTTCGGAAAGTCAGTCTGTCATTGAGTAACTTACTATTTTTTCAATCCACTTGAGTTTCAGAGAAAAATCTTAGGTAAAAACCATTTTTATGAACGGGAAATAATGTGGAATGCCTAAGATATTTATCAAAGAATGGGAAAGAAAAAAGAGAACCAAAATAACACGAAAGACTCAACTTGCTCATCTGTAAGATTTCTGGTATTTGGCTCTAGCTCCCGGACCACCGAATTTCTTAGTTTCACATCTTCTTGGATCAGAGACCAAGAGAGTTCTGTCGTACTCTAAGAACTTAGCCTTGAGTTGGTTCTTTGAAGTCTCGTCGACGTATTTCTGTTGGTAAGCGATCAAAGCTCTTGCAATTGCTTGTCTGATGGCATAGATCTGTGAGACTTGTCCACCACCAGTGACTCTGATTTTCAAGTCAAGTTGGGCGTAGTACTCTTTTCCAATGACAAAGAGGGGCTCGAACGCCTTGATTCGCAACATTGGTGGCTGGATCAAGTCCAATGGAACACCGTTCACTCTAATCATTCCTTTGCCTTGTTTGCACAACGCAACGGCAATCGCGGTCTTCTTCTTCCCAAAGACTTGGACAGACTTGATTGGTTCGGTGGCGACTTTCTTATCCTTCTTCGCGACTTTCTTTTGGGCCTTGGCGGCAGCTTTCACTGGTGCTTGAACGTCAGACATCCAATTGCGAAGGGTTAGTTCAGTTCCCTTACCTCTTACTATTATTTTTACTATTCTCTTTAACTTCGTTATTAGAACCAATTTACCCTTGTTTTCCATAAAGTCCGTTATTTCATGAAAAATGTCCATGTAGGGTTTGTCTTGTGTATTAGTAGAACTTGTATTATAAAGTAACCATAAATATCCTATAACACGCATATAGTAAAATTAATAGTAAAATAAACTAGAAATTACACAAGAGTTAACCGAAGGAATCTAATCATTGAAGACGTTGATATATGGATAGATGTTGATAGCCTTGTTCAGTTGCTTGACATAAAACGTGACAGGGCCCTCTCCCATCACTTCAATAATCTCATTGAAGAAGAGTGTGAAGACTTGGTTCTCTATTGAAGAGAAGTACTTACTCGAGACAAATGTAATATTTCTCGAAGGCAAATAGAGACTCTCGACATTCTCTTCGACGCCGCACCCAATGAGTGTTGGTACACTTTTGCATGTAAAGTTGAGACTGACTTTATTTTGAAGGATAGTTTGGACTGAATCGGTGAATGTAAAGAAAACAGAGAGATCGGCAATGCCGCATTTTTCTTCCACATGAGAATTGGTTTGGAGTTGTGTGTTATTCATGAGGATATAGTCGATGTAATAATCACAGAAGTCGTGGTTAATACTTTCTGGAGAACGAATTAAAAATCTTACTCTGTCGTACAAATTGTTTTGAATGGGGTGGGTTAAGTCTGGAGTTGTAAACAAAGTGAATCGAAGTACATTACAGAGCTGAAACTTAGTCATATATACTTTCGCAGATGTGCACGACGCACTTGGTGTGGAAATTGAAGTGATGTTATAGAGATACCCGTTGTGTATTTCCTCGCCATTTTCGTTGATGGACTGCACTTTGATATCAACAGGGAAGTCGCTTTTTGAGATGAAGTTACCAACAAATGTGACGACGCCGTACATTGGCATGATCTTACTTGTGTTGGTGACTTCAATTGGAGGAAGATACTTTGTGAACAACTGACGATTATTTGAATCACATGTGAATGAATGCGGGCGTGTTGTGATATGGAAAATTATAAAGAGTGGAATTGCAACCGTCACAGATATTGCAATTATTAATAACAGTTTTTGGACTTTCTTTTGGAGTATATACGCCTTTAACGCATTTTCTTGGTCGTTGTCTACAATTTCTTCATAATTCTTCTCAGTGGGCATTCGAAGCAAATCCTCCATATATCGTTATACTTTGAATTTTCTGGTTCGACTTTTCTTCTTTCTTTTTCTGATGTTTTTTTAATAATTCATTTTATTATTATTTTATTATTGATATATATTTTATATATAGTTCAACTATAATAGTTGTTTGTATATTTAATATTAGATTGTTATTTGAATTGAATTAATATATAGTATTAAATTGTATTTTAAAACAATTATATAATTTTAATTATAATATAGTATAATTTGATCAAAATTCAAAAATAACAATTATAAAATGTGAAAACATCAAAAAACTTTTTTTTTCAGTTTGTTGAGTTTTTATAGTAATAATTATTTAAATTAAGTATTTATTATCAATTAATTTAAAAATAATAATAATAAAACATTAAAAAAAAACATAAAAAATACAGTCTTTTTGTTAAAGTCAAAAATATTTTTAATAAATATTATAAAGTGTTTAAAAAAAAATTAAAAATAAAAAATCATGTTTTTTCAATAAAATGATTTAAATAATAACAACAATTTTACAAGTATTAATAAAAGATAAATTTGTTTAATATTTTTGTATTTTTTTATACAATTTAATATCCTGTTTTGACCAATTTATAAATATTTTTCTGTCTTTTGTCCAAAAAATTCATTATATTGATACATCAAAGTTAAATTAATTAATAACAAACTATATTCTGAAAGGAGATAATTACAAAAAAATAAAAAACACCCAAATGGAATGTAGCTAATAAAGTGACATGTTTATTTAGAAAAGAGAATCAATTTATTTAAAAAACAACCATTAAATTGTTTGTGATTTGATTCAGTTATTTTAAAACAATACGAAAAAATCAAATTAAAAAACAAAAAATAAGAACTAAAAAAGAAACCAACATGGAGTATACTTTAGTCTCACAGATTTTATCTGAAAAAGATATCCTTTACAACATCAAGACGTGTTTTATAGGAGACCCGTCGACTAATGACGACAGAAAAGCGCTTATTTGGAATTGTTTTGTTTGTTATTAACGTCGATGATACAAACCATATTTAATAATAAAATTATAAAATGCTAATAGATAGAAGAGCGACACTTCACTTCCACCAGAGGACATGTCACAAGTTGTTTGTTGGTTTCATTTTTAACATAAAAAACTATAAGAAAAACTAAAACGGGGTTTACTCATTAGTTATCAATGACTTTGAATATTAAGGACAAAATAGGTCGTGTTACGTTACAGAATTACGACAACTTTGTGAGTCGAGGAGCGAGTTATTTTCCTTTTAAAGGTGTTTCACTTGCTGTTGTTGTGTTTAACTCACAAGATGACTCTTATAAAAATGTCAAAAATTGGTACAGTGAAGTTAATAGATATTGTGGTGCGTCCGAATCGTTACAAACACTTATAATTGGTATATTTCCAGACAACTCTTATCATGACTTTATCCCAGATAACATCAAAGTTCGTTTTATTTAACTTTTCAATCATGCGACTTTTAGTAACAGTCGATAATACAACCAGTCCTATTTGTTCACTGGTTTAGACGGTGTTACTTGGCGTTTACTTACATTTAGAAAGCTATTGAAAACATTCCACGTTCGACCTTTTTCTACTTTGATGCAAACGCGGGTGTACACTTTAGAGAAACATTCTTTAGGCTAATTGTCAACATTCGAGACTCTCTCTTCAGCGACTTGAAATTGTTTGTTTTGTATATTTTGTCTTGTCATTCTATTTGGATGAAGTGACTGAAATACAGAGTCGAACTTGAAGCAAAAAAAGAAAGGCAAGCTATGGCAAAAAAGAAACCCAAAGTTGTTACTTCAACGAATTTATCGTCTGCATTGTCGCGAAAAATGAAGTTGGTCACTAAAAATGATGCCGAGTTTTTCGTTCTGATTAAATGTATTGCCCTTGGGGATGAAGGAACATCTTCGTCGTGTCATCGTGTGGTTCAACACATTCTCGACCTTCCCGAAGCTGTTGGTGATGATATTGAAGACTATGTTTGTGTTGTTATTTATTGTTACATTGCCAATGTGTGACTTACAAACAGCCACAGCACATGATACAAAAAGATGCGGTGACCATCAAGCTTAAAATTGATGTTTATAATCACAGTATACCTTCTGGCAAATCATACACCCCCTATTTTAATACCCTTGTTGGTATTATAGTCTTTAGACATGATGACAGAGAGTTTGTATTTGTATCTTCTATTCAAAGAGTTTAACTCACAAATAGATCTTTCAAAAATGTTGTGAATTGGTACCAAGAAACACAGAGATATAGCAATTTACAATCGAACCACTATTTCATCGTTGGGTGTGACTATAAAGAAACGACCCCAGTGATTACAGAAGAGGATGTCAAGAACTTGATTGGGTACATCTCTAAGCAAAAGCCTATAGAGTACTTCAGAGCAGACGGAAGAAATTGGGAACAATTGAAAGAGCGTTTCTTTGACTTGATTGATGAGGTCTATACCGAGGAATTTACACCGGAATTTTTGTTTGTTTTTGATGGAAAGAAAAAGAATGAAATTAATTGGTAGGGAACAATGCTCCAATTCTAATGTTGTAAGAAACACTATTGGCCAGGGACAACCACCAGGACTTCAACAACCACAAACACAACAATACAAACCGTTTGTCATCGACGAAGAAACACCAATCACAGGAGTCGGTGATGAGGAAGGCGGATCATTACTTGGAAATCACAGACATGAGGAAATGGAATATGAAGCCAAGTCGACGTGTTGCTGCAATGTTGTTTAAGAGAATTCATGTGTTAGTTGTGTATAATGTACTAATTGATATAATATTTAATATTATAAAACATAGTACATGTTGATTGTTTGTGATAATTTTGATTTTTATAACACCATAGTTTTGAAATGACCGGAAATGATCATTCACTTGATATTTAATATTGTTTGTAACTTATATTTTTTTAATACAATTGTTTCAATTGAAAAAGTAAATATTTACAGAATTATAATTAACAACTTAAGTTGTCATATTGGAGGGTTATTTCTTCATTTATTTTTGGAAAAAAAAACATGGAGTATTTTAATTTTAATCCATAATTGAAGAATTAAATAAATATTAACAATTTTTAGAATAATTATAAAACAATAGTTGATACTATACTAATAGATTTATAGATAATACAAATAAGAAATGTTATTAATTGTTGTTACTAAAAAAGAAAATGTGTAATATATTCTAAATATCCCGAAATATCAGTCTTAAAATGATTAAATAATGATGATGTTATAACCCGTTTCAACAGCCTTGAAAGTTGAATGCAAAAGTCAGTTTGGCTCGTTTCAAAAAGAAACATTGAAAAGTAGAAGAAAAAGATTGCATGAGTAAACCACAATTTAGAGACAGTGACTCGACACCGATCTCACGAGAGATTACGTCTAAACAGTTGCAACTTTGTTTGTGCCCTCTTTGCCTGAATGGAATTCCTCCCTGTGCGGATACCAAAACACAACTAGTGTCATGGATTCATATCATCAGAATCATTTTGTACTCATTGAATAAATTGAGGCCCAATACTGAATACTTTACTTTGAAAAAAGATATATATGGGTATGTAGCTGAGCATTGGTATATATTCTCCACACTCAAACAATGTTTGTTGTATTGTATATAAAGTAGTGCAAATTTCTTCTCATATGTATGTAATAGAACTCATTATTAGTTGTGACAAGTCCGACTAAATGGAAGAAGAGTTTTCTGTTTGTTTTTTCTATGTGTTATGACAGTCTTTTCACTCTTCTTATTGATTATTATAATTAATTACAATTAATTATTATTAATTATTACTATTATTACTCACATCTAGCGATGCATTAAGTCACTCGCCATATTTCGAGAGTGGGTACAACGCATTCAAAACAACTGGATATTGGAAATTACGTATTTTAGACAACCCATGGGCTCCAGAAGTTTCAGTTCCTCCCGTGAATGTGGCTTATTCGAAAGAAGAAGCGATTCATTATTCAACCGGTCCAACCATCGTGATGGACTCATTTGGGGAAAAGCGGGCGGTTGAGAACAAAGACAACTTTTATGAGATTCAAATGCGTTTACGGGACTCATACATCAAAACCTTTGATTATGCCCAAAGCATGTTAGAGCAGTCTGACATTGATCTTCAAAGGAACATTGGGTATGACCAAAAGATGGTTCTCTTATCCAACGTGGAAACATTAAAGAACTTAAAAATGGGGATGTATTTCCTCATGAAAGCACTCAACGAGAATGAAGCAAGTTACAAACAAACGCAAAAAGGTGACAACCACTTTTCGGGTTGTCTATTTTTCAACGTCGTCATGAAATGATGCCTTCAAACACTCTCCCAACACTTCTCTTTGTTATTGATTTTTTATTATATGTTACTAGTATATTTCCTACACCTCAGTGTATCAACAGACAGACAACCATTGGAAATGAAAGAGAATACCAATTAGTTCGCCTGCTTTTTTGGGGTGTTCGCGACCATGTTTTCATATGTGATATGCACTTTAGAACAGACGTAGAGAAACAATTCTCGGTGTTCTTCGGGTACCAAGTCGACGAGTTGTTTTTCAGTCAATTCAAAGACGGCAAAGAGGGATGGGAACGACTTCAGCTTCAACACTGAGAGGATGAATTTGAAGAAGATCCTGACGCGGTTATAATTGATCATCCCTTTCATATCACTGTCAATGCTTTTGTCGATCACAACACACGTTTTAAAAATTTGGTCTGGGGTATTTGAGTCGTTGTACGACTGAAACGTTGACACAACAGACACTTTAAACAAATTTCGAGGCTTTGCCATCCACTTTGAATACAACGTGAATTGTTCTGCTATTGGTGTTGGGTGTCCATTTGTAGCCAGCAGAATCAAGACAGAAAAGAGCAGAATGTCGCATGTTTGTTGATACAATGATTCGTCGTTGTTTTCGTAGTATTGTTCGATACATTTATTTAATTGTTGGTATGAAGCAGCTTGTGCGGTAGTGAGTTCTACACAGTTATTTTGTTCTTATGTTATTCCTTTTTAGACATCAAATAAGTGAATTCACTAACAAACCATATTTGAGTGACAACATGCATATCGTCTCGAAGACTAAATATTGTAATTCATAAGATGTTGAAGGGACAAGTGCTTTCAAATAATACGTGCAAGCCATGTTGGGATGTTCCAGTGTATATAACATCGTTCCAAATCGAATGGAATACATTGAGATGTTTTCGGGGTCTTCCTTCTCTGCTTTGTCCAGTATTCGCTCAAAGCAGTCATTCATCAACAACACACATTCATCAAAAGAAACACCGTTATAGAGTTTAATATCCATTTCACTCTCCCAATACCTCTCTGCTGCAAATAACAACTTTTGAATGTCCGCCTCGCCAGATAAGATAGTCGCGTCGTACATTGAGTCAGCGGAGACTCTTTTGTCCGGGTGTGTTAAAGCGTATGTGTACAGTTTCGAGACGTCCGCGTTCGTTTTTTTCCATCTTCCGAGGAGGATAGTGTTGTAGTAGTTGATGATACTGTCGCTGCTCATTACTTTGAATTTAATAGTTTATTTATTAAAACTTGAAAAACTATAAATGGCACTACCATTACAATTCTCAAGAAATTTGAAAAACAAGAAGAACATAAAAATTCATTGATGGAAATTGAAGAGCGCAAGTGGAAGTTAGTCAAAGAGAATCAACGTCAGATCGCACCAGACGGACTTGCTGAGTTAATACCACTGAATGTATTTATACTCCCATCGACTGAGGAAACCAGTGAATATATAGTCGTCTCATATTCAATAGGGTTTTATGTTTATTTGTCAACTGACTTTAAAAGCCCACAAGAACCCATTCGGAAGTATGAGTACCCACAACCGATAACCACTAGCTTTGTGTATGCCTCCAATGATAGTTTTACGTTTGAAATATGGTTTGTATACAAAGAGGAGAATGACAACAACCGAGTGGCTTATATCGTGTTTGACCCAAATAATGAAGATCTCTTCGTCGATCAGAACAACAAAAAAGTCAAATTCTACACCTCCCCAAATGACACAGTAATTAAAATGGAGAAAGTTAATGACATCCTCGTCTTGGCTTCCCGACACCATCTCGTCATTATCAATAACAAAACAATCGTCGCAAACAAGCAATTCAACGAAGATATCACGGCTATTTCTAATGCAGAGAGTTTCATATTTATTGGATTCTTCAATGGGAAAGTCAAGAGGTACAATATTAAAAATGAACTCTTGATCGATATCTTCGAGTATAGATTCCCAATCACTTCACTTTCATTCACTACAGAGTCTATCGTTTGTTCTATCTTTTTTACTATAATTTTATTATTTGTAAACTATAAGATAGTTTAATATATTATATTAGAATATATACTATAAGTGTAATTTAGTATAGAGTATTATATTTTTATTATAATTTATACTCAAACAAGTAACTAAAAAATAGTATATCGGAACTATAGATGGCAAAATATTTAGAAAAATCATCTCGCTCAAGGCAATACCAGCAGAGAAAAACACCATAATCGAACTTGATGGGTCTTCACTCTTTGCTATATTCAGTAACCACGACCCAAAGTTCCCACTTGTGGTGCTTACACGAGACTGTTTGAACATCTTCGATCTAACTTACCAGTCGGTTTCATCAACTAAACTTGTGCTGCCAAACACGCTTTTTGCAGGAGTTAGCTTTGATAGAGGTGCGGTTGTGGTTGTGTGTGGGAAGGAACTTTCCTTGTACAGAGCAGTGATTTGATTCTATTGATTTTACTATTTCAATTGTATATTATATAGTTTTATTTGTGCTCTTTTTTACAATTTGGCAAATGGAGATATCTGGTAAGACTCTCCGCCAAATAACATAAAAAGTGTTGTTTGGATATTTTTTGGTTAATAAAAAATTGAACAAAATAACAAATTGAAGTGGACAGATTTTTCTCTCTGTTACTATTGGTTGAATTAATAGTCTATTTTCAACGTTTTTTGTTTTTTCAATTGCCGATCCAATTACGAAAGACCAATACTTTCTTTTCTATTAAATGAAATTGATATAACTAAACGGGATAACAATGGAATTAGGACATCCGAACTTTTGCTTTAAATATTTGCATCGGTTAAATAGAATTTGTACAATAAAAATAGTTTAGCCTTTGAATTGTAAAAAAAGTTTTTTTCTTCGTTATTTCTTTTGAATAAAAGACAAATCAAGTCAAATGGTTATAACATTACTATCAACAAATAAAAAAAACAAAATGTTATTGGACTTTTCAAGACTACTTGAATATTCCCACACAATAATTAATAGAATTGAATGAGACATTACGTGAAGACTCTTCTTTTTTTTAGACTGTTTATTTAGGCAGAATTTACTTTAAAAAACGGGAAAATGTGGGATTATTACAAAATTCATCACTGAAAATCAATACCCAATGTTATTATTAGGAAACCGAAACAGTTGATCTTTTATGACTTTTAAGCATAATATGCATAATTATACCAGATGAAATAATACTAACGCTATTTGGTTTTATTTATTATTGTATTATATTTAATAAACACTAAAGTAAAAACGCCTGAATTTTTCAGTCCTCAACATTTGAAAACAAAGAGGTGACAATTACTTATTCAATTAACCAAAAATAATTAATAAAATTATATTAAATTCATAAAACCTAAATTATCGGGTAATTACATTGAAAAATATCACTTACAAGCAGTTGCCAAAGCTATCAGCGAAGAAAACATTCCCTTCATCCTTTCAACCATTTTTTTAGTATTTATACTCCCTATTTTTTATTCTTATTCAGCAATGTTTGCTTATCTGTTGCTTGCTGTTGCTCTTGCGGAGACTTGCGTCAAGTACCCGATGGTCTTGATTCCCGGAATTTTGTCCTCCATTCTTGAAGGTGCTGTAAACATTCCCAAAGACTCTACTCTCGACATAGACAGTGATTGCAAGAAGACTTTCGGCAAAAAGCGTCTGTGGGTCGCACTCAAAGAGATCAACCCGTTTGTCACGACTGTTACATTGGGTATTTAGTCACACTATACGCAGACACTACACCCAACTGATATGGAGTGTCACCATACAGTCCTGACTTGGATCGACATATGCTTAGACTCATAGATCAAATGGCATTC